GTAAGTGAATTTTAAGATGATATAGCTGCAACCTTTGTCTGTATCCTTTTGCAATGATTTGTAATTGCACTTGGCACATTAAGATTTGTTAAACGAAGTTGAATTTTTTCCATTTATAAGCAATAGCAAAAGTCTTTCAGGTTTCTTCATTTTTATTTATTAAAACTGTCTTTCATGGGTAATTTTTCAGTTATATTCTCAGTTCTGCTTCAGATTTGAAAAAATACTCCTAATCAGGAGCACAACTTGCTTGATGTGCCACAGCAAAAGAGGCAGACACATCAATGAGTATACAAGTGATGGTGAAAAATAAACTGTAGTATGTTTTCCCTGTATAACTGTTTGATGAAACATTTGTTGAATTATGTTTATCTAGCCTGTTGGATTTGTTTATTTTTTTTTCATAGAAAATGGCTAAAATATCAGCAGGAAAAATAAGAACAGGGATTTTAATAAATTGCATTGTTCAAATGTAATCTTACAGGCAAAGTCCTCTAAGGTATTTAATAAAGTAGGCCAGAGAACTCTCCTTTGTGGATAAAACTCTGTTGCAAGTTCCAAGTTGTTGGTGAGATAGATCTATTACATTATTAGCTCTGGGGTAAGGTTTCCCAGTGCTGCTAAAATATGCTCAATTTAAATTCTATATTATATCACCGGGTCTGAATAATTTTATATCTATATTTTACTTTTAAATGCTTAGCTGACTCATGTATTCTAAAGTATTATAAACATCTTTTAAAAAAAAAAGGAATATAAATCTTTATGTTACCTTTGTTTTTTATTACATTTAACTAGAATAAAAGTAGGATCAAGGCCAAGGTTAAAACTGGAGGTTGCACTATATTTACATTTTGTTCAATACTAGCACTTAAGAACAGCGACCAAGCATTTAAAAATAGGCTGAAGGGGATGAAGAGATTTAGAGGGGAATGCCTGGCTGTCTCAGAAACTACCAGGTGAGTCATGGTTCTGCTGCTGTGATGAGCTCTGGGCAGGGAAATTGGTACGATTTAGCTCAGGGAAGGGAGACAGCAAAATACAGAGCCAGAGCAAGGCTGTATTTCGATTATGTGAAGAAATCCTCCCCACTCTGAGCTGCATCTACAGAGCCTCCCAGGACCTCTGCAGATCAATAAAGGACAGTGACACCAGTGTGCAGGTTTCTGTGGCAGCACTAGCATTGTCAAGGGCAGAACTGGTCAGTAGCTCAGACACTGCCTCCAAGTCATCCATCTGCACCTTTTCTGAGAGGTCCCAGAGGGTAGGGACGAGGCAAACTGTTCTGTATGACCATGTTCCCATACTCTTGCAGACCACTGGACTGTAGCATGCACTCTGGGAAACCATGCAGTGAGCAATTTATGTTACTTGTCTCCAGAAAGGCAACAGGGGAAGGCACATATTGTGCCAAAGAGCCCTGAAACAAAGGCAATCTCATAAATTCATAGTGTTGGATTTAGGAAATCTTAAAAAGTGAAATATTTTTCTTTGCTTTTCAATACAGATGGATTTGATGTTAATGGAAGTGGCACTGGTTCTGACAGAGGAAGCTATCTTCCTTCAATACTTTCAATGTGAATTATTCCCACAGAGACTATTTTCTTCAGGTAGAACTCCAATCCTTCAGAGTAAACTAAGCAAACCATGGTACAGCTGGTAAGAAAAGGCTACATATATCCTGGCTAAACATGAACTCAGGTAAGAATACTGCTTTCTTAGCTGAGATAATTCTCACTCTCAAAGAGTTCATTTCATCCCTTTTTCTGTACTAAATTATTCCAGATTACTGCCAAAAGATGGCTATACTTCTGATGAAAACAAACAAACAATCAGAAGGCTAATAGCTAAAATACATGTTCAGACTGGGTCAGGTAAAGTGGCTTCTGAAAGAAAATCCCAACCAAACCCAAAACCAACCCCCCAAGGTTTGGGGAGAGCAAGAGAAGCTTGCTCTAAATCCAGCTGCCTACATCCAGGCTCCTGACCCATGATAAACATGAGTTCCTTCAAGATTGACGCTAACTTTCAAGTCCAAAATACCCCTGCTTTATAAGTCTATATCAAATGGAATAAAGGGTATCTTATACTTGAGTAAAAATGATGTAAGTTCTCTCTTACCTTATACTTCATGTTGTTATCACATAATAATTTTTCACTTCCTGCGGCTGGTAGTGGTTAATTCAATTTTTTTTTCCCATCTCTGCCTTTTTTCCTCTTTGTTTGAAGGGGCTCATTCACCACAGGCAATGCCAGTTTTGAGTCAAAGTGTCATTGAAGCCCACAAAGTCACACATTTTGAGCTGGGAGGTGGGTGTGATTATCCAATTACCTTTTGACATTTCCATCATCTCCTTTGGCACCTAAGTACAATAAGTTGGGCATTTCAATATCTGCTCATCCTCAATTTAAACCTGTTTTGAAAATACAAAAGAACCTTAAGTGATCTGTCCACAGCATTGAAATACCAACTTTAGTGGATACTTTGAAAACTCAAAGGCTTTACAAGATGAATAGCAAACTGTGGATGACAGCTCCTGTGGAGCCATTATTGAATTGCAGCAGTGATGACTGCATTGCTTTGGATTTAGATAAAAGACTCCATGCAAGACAAATGGTAGGAGGACATCAAACAGGACTGTGTCCATGCAGTGGCAGAAGCAATCCAATTGAAGAAGCTGTTGATTTCCCCAAAATAACTTACTATTTCTTCTTGAGTAATTTATATTAAGAAACTAAAGATTGTATATTCATCTTCTATTTACATTCTTCTCTAAAAATACTGCTTCTAGTTGTCAAATATAAGACTTGTTTAAATTATTTTCCAGAAAGGAAATACCAGTATAGGAGCTTGTCAATTATTTTGCATCTCTGTTTTATTTAGCCACAATATCACTGTGTCTAAATGTTATAGACTGAGAGTTACAGTCAATACTGATCAGGTAAAGAGATTAGTCAGCAAATCAATAAAATACGTACCAGCAGGAAGCACTGTACACTTAAGACAATAATGAATACAAAGGGTTCAGATAAACATCATCACCTTTATTTAAATGAAAGCTGATTCTAGAGCATTTCCACTATGCACAAACCTTTTGGAGTCTTAGTTTGCTACACAAGCATAATGTAGATCTTGAATTCAAGTTTCAAGATGCGCCCTAAAGTGGCTTTGCACAAAACCCTAGGATTTGGGGTTTACTGACAGTTATACAGGCTGTACCTTGGGAAGGATACAGAATGTTTATTTAACTTCTTGCAGAAATTCTACATTGACATTCAAGTCTTGCCATTCACACTTACTGTGCCTTAGTGGTCTACAACATTCAACAGACCTGGATCACTCAAACCAACTTGATTCATAGGAATTTAAAGAGGGAGATGCACCCCACATTGTGTGCTCCACCTGGGAATGGTCATCCAGCCTACAGGGCTGGACTACAACCTTTCCTGGCAGATCTGACTGAAGTGTGTTTGATGCTGTCAATGGGTCTTTAATGCACACTGGTTCACTCCACAGATTCACTTTTATTTGTCTATCATAACAACTAACAGAGAAAAAGACTTATTCTTTTAGAGCACAACCACAAATGAAGGTAGGCATTTAGTTTACTGTAGCTTCTTAAATGTGTATATTTGCAAAATGTGGGCATTTTAGGAATTAAGTGGAGATTAAATGGAAGAGATTAAGTATATACATACACATAGAATGGCATAGACACACAAAACATTCCTGGTAATTCAGATTTTTTCTATCTGCCCTTTTTGTATCCTTTTTTGAACCACTTCACAACTTGCTATGCTAGCTTTCTGGTTTAGATCAGGTCTAGTTGTCATCCTCATATTTTCCTCAGCTTGTCACAGGACATTTTTCTCTCTGCCTGTCTTTCTTTTCTCCCTTTCTAATACCTTTTCATTCCCAGGCCCTTCCTATTAAACCTAGAGTAGGCTAAATTAAATTAAAACAAATAACCTTCAAAGAATATGTCCCTCTTTTTCTTATCCTTCTATTTATCCCTCCCACACAAGCTGCATGACAGACAGACCATGGTCAACTGTCATGAGAAATTTTAGCTGGGATGCCACCTTGCCAGGAGGCATGGTGCAAAATCCCTCCTCACCGTGATACAGCATTTTCTTGATGAAACTTCTATCCGAATGGCCAGGCATATAATTTCCTAAAACCATACCCAGGTTCAAATGACATTAGAGCAGAAGGAGTCTTTAGCGTGTCATCCTCTCACAGTGACAAAAGGACTCCCAAATCCAAAGTGTTTTGGGAAAAAACCCTGAGCAGCAAATTTTTTGCAAAATCAGGAAACAGATCCCCTCCACCCCACCTTCAAATTCTTGACTAATTTAGTGTGTGCGAGTCTCTGAACTCCTTGCAATGATCTTGGTCCCAGGAGGAATTATCTGCATCTGCTCCTTTCCTTTCAGGATACTATGAGCAATACAGCAGAGAATCTAAAAGCTAAGTTTGTTCTGAGCAAATTCAATGAAAAGAACAGGTTTCAATAAGCTAAACTTAAAAATAGCTTCAATAGTGTCTAATCTGTGATTCCTGCTTGGCACTGATAATTACGACAAAAAAAAAAAAAAGGACAGAAACTAACATGATTGATCTCAGTGAAAACAGTTTTGTTTTGTTCTCTTGAAGCTACCCTCAGAATTCTACTTTGCATGATTACTTGCAGTATTTTTCCATCTTCATTTTTACTTTTCAGAATTGGCAAGTTTGTCTGAGACCCAAATAACTAGTGAGTTCAATTGCCAGCCTAGGGATAAGATTCAAATGAAATTATTCTCACTTACTCTTTTTCACCCACGTCGTGATGGGAGCAAGACTACCTTTCTCATTACATAGTTTTTTCTTTTAATTATCTCCTTCCTCTGGCTGACACAGGAAGCACTTTACCCCTGGTTGGCACCTCCGTGGCACATCCCTTGGTGAGCCAGTTGGAGAATGAAGAAGCAAACTACCTCCCTCTCTGAAAACATTGCAGTAGTACATACGACTTCCTCAACTTCACAAGAATTTATGGCCGCTCAGCATCTCAAGAAAGCAGGCCACAATAGCAATCTTTATGCCTTTATGTGGTCAAAAAAACAAAGAACTTCAGGCTCAAGGTGCTTTCTCCCCTGTAGGAAATTATATGTGCAGCACATCATCCGTAGGGAACTCCATGGTTTTCCTCAACATCTATATGTGTACTGCTCCTTGAACATGAGGAACTCTAAGGAGAATAAAAACAGGTACTCTCTGAATCCATTTTTAAATAATCATTTGGAAAGGAGAAATTTGTTTTATTTCCTACTGCAGAGAAATCCATCTCTTTGCCCTCCCCTTTTTATTGCTCATTTTATTGGCAACATTCCTCTTCCTCCTAAAGTAAATTTCTGATGTGGATTTTGTCTTTTGGATTCATCCTTCCTGCAGATTCTTACCTGATTAAGTTCTTCTGATCCAAAGAACTGAACAGAGACTCCCTGATGGTGATAGGCTGAAATTTCTCTGCAGTTTTCTCGGGGGGGAGGGAAGGAAAAAAAAGAAAGGAAAAAAAGAAAAGGGAAAAAGTAACCTCCAAACCAACACCACCCCTACTACCCCCAACTCAAAAAATAAAACAAAAGGAAAGGAGAAGAAACAAACCACCTCAAAGACAGTGTCAAATGCAGGTCTCAAAAGCATGTGTTGATTCCACAGTACAAGTCAGTTTAAATCCCCTAGTCCCTCATTTCCACTCCCCAAGAGGAATCAAACCAGAGAGCAGCTTACATTGTCAAGACCTGGGAGCTTGTTGTAAGAATAACTAGTTCTTGACATTTGAAATTACTGTGGTTCAAACATTTTTTGATCTTTCTTATTAGCCCTGTGTCTTGAGAAATAAAAATATGATAATCAGAAAGTACATAATTGGGTTCAGGGTATTCTGTGGTCACCCTTGCTGGCTCTGGAGATAAAGGCACTTTGAAAGATTATGCATGGATATCTGGACTTTATTCTGCACAGTTTCTGAAATGACAGATCTTTTTTCTTAATTACACTGGCTATCAGTGTAACACCTGTAGTTAACCATTCTGTCCTGAGGAATCCCTTCTGATACCTTTTATTGTTCCACCAGACACACGGCAGCAAAATGGCACATGGATGCTGAGACATTTATTCCCACAGACACGGAGGCTGCTTCAAATCCCCATGATGACTGTTTTACACCACCATGTTTTCACTGCCTCCAGGCTTGGAGGGGCTGTCTGCAGAACTTGCCACCACACTTCACAAGCATTGTGGACTGGAAGCTACAGTTTTACAAAGTGTTTGGACCAAAATGTTTGTGCATTCGCCAACACTTACAGCTTCTAATTAGATGTTTTTGGGAGCAGCACTTCATGGCTGGGCCAGCCCTGTGGATCCCCAGAGTTGCCAGTGCCATGGGGTGACACCAAGCCCTACTTCATGCTGCCTTAAACCTCTTCCTTCAGGACCCTTGCTGCAGCAGAGGATTTTCCACAAGCTGAGTTTATTGAGCTGTGTTATACAATATATACAGCCCCACTGCAGCCAAAACAATCTGTCATTTTTAATTCTTCCTGTCACCTCATTAGGTATATAGCTAAAGTGAAAGTAAAAAACCCAAACAACGAAAAAACACCACCAGCAAAACCCAGAACAAAATGTTTTCAGAACTCCTTCTCAGAGTTTAACATAAATATCAAAGCACCAAAAGATTCATTGACCAAACATAAGTGACTTGGTGCTATATAAAACAAAGTGACATGCAGAATGGTCTCAATAGGCATATAAAGCAATTAAAATAACTGTGCTTCAAAGCATTGTACTATAACATAAAAGGTCATCTCTATAAACATGAAAAATGCGACTGTTTTTTTCTTACATACAGACACACCAATACCTAGCTAGAGGTTCCATTCTAAAAGATAATTTTTAAAAATCTCTGAAAACATGCCATGCCCCATATCATTCTTTCTCAGACCATGTCTTTTCATCAATGGTTAATATTTTAAATGGACACAATAGGAAATGTTATTGAGGCCAAGTATATGTCAGAAGACAATACAAGTACAGAATATTTACCCCATGCATACACATGATAGTGAAAGAAACCCTGGCTAACGTTCTGTGAAAGTGAAAAGCCTATCTTTGTTTTCCTTCTAGAGCTTGCTTATTTTCACATTAACGCATTAAAGTTGTATTCCAATGGAGATTGCAGAGTGTACATTTTGAGGACTCTGATAATTTTTGCAGTAACATTCTGAGTTTGTGATAATAATGTTTATGCACAGATGTAAAGAATGTGCTGACAGATTAAAAAGGAGTCAGCCAGTGTTTGCACAGTGTTGATTTTTATTTAAGGGGAGGGAAAAAAAAAAGAAAAAAAAAAGTAGTACTGCACCTGGTTGTGAACAAACAGCTTTTACAGAAGTGGAAGTAGTGTGGTGTATTGCAACTCCCTAAGCGCTCCCTGCATTAATTCAAAAATTCAAGTTATGGGCACATCAGAGAATCACAAACTTTTATTTTTGCTGCAATTACAGAGTTTGACTGGATTTCCTACTAGTATTAAAAGGGTTCTTAGCTCAGACAGTAGTATTAAGTATTAAGTAAGAAAGTGTTAAAAAAAATGTTCATTTATTGCAGAGACGATCCTTGCTGTGGAGACCCTTCTTCCTTATGTATTTAGGCTATACACACATTCTAATTGTAATTGGAAGGCTGTAATGCCCCCAGAGGTGTCTTGAAGGATAGTGAAGGTACAAATGTAGCATATGGCAATAGGTATCTGCTGTTTCTTAATATGCAGCTATGGTATTTTAAAGCTAATTGATGTACTGAAACCTCATATTTTACAATGCCAGAGCATGGGAAGAGATAACAGGTAATGTCATTTTCTCTCCAGCTGATCAGAGAGACTGCCCTGATCAATACCTGCAGAAGTATGCAGCAGCTACTGCTGGCGGAAGCATACTGATTCAGGTAGAAAAAAAAAAAAAACCCTCATGAAGAGAAAAGGAGAAGCAGCAAAAATATTCAGTTGAAAGAAATATTAATTTGGAAAACTGAAGCATGCAGCTTGAAGTTGCAGAAACCTGCAACTTTACAACAGACTCCACAACTGCAATGGGTAACCTCAAGCCATGCCTCCCTTTTCTGAAGGATTTGCCTTTCAACCTAATTAGAGCAGGAGCAGAGAGATTAGATGTTCCTTGCTCTTTTTGAAAAATGACTGGGAAAACTCCATGTAATCAGGAGGTATTTATGATTTCCATTGACTTTCAATTTTCTTGGTTCATCTGTTCCCTTTCAGAACGTTTGATGCTAGTCTGTTCTAAACTGTATGTTGAATTTGCTTTAATCAGGTGTCTTTGTAACAGGCATTAGGTCATTTACTTTTTGATTTTTTTTCTGTGAAAATACAGGTTTTCTTAGTTTCAAAAATGTCCTTTGAAGAAACCTGTCATGTTCCAGGAAGAGGAAAAGAAAAAAAACAGAGAGAGAGAGAGGGGGAGAGGGAGAGAGAAGAGGACCAGGGAGGGAAGCGGGGAGCAAACCTGTAATTCTGTTTTTTCCCCACAACAGCAGTGGGGAACTGTGAAATTGTGCACAGTTGTGAGCAGCACACTTTGTGTCCATTGCTGCCCCCCTCAAGCTCCTTTCTCTGGTGATCTGGGCTCATACACTGAAGCTGATTAACATAGGCAGAGCTTAATATTTAAGTAGACTACTACATATACTGGCAAGCGCTAGATCAACCAAATACTCTTTCTAGTTTTACACCTTTGTTGCCCTGGAACTCTCAAGTTTCCTTCCTCCTGTCCCATACCTGTTCTTGAATTTAGAAACCCAAGCTTAATGTTACCTCACTCCCACCCCCAAATTTCAGCTCCTCATCCAATCCCACCTTTCTGCTGGCAATTTCAGCCACTTGAAACTCTCCACTCTTGAACTCTCTCTCCATAAAACCAGAAGTCCTGCTTCTCACAAGGATATTCTAAGTGGCACATTTAATGAAAAGCCACTTAACTGGGGCTCTGTGATGAGGAGCAGAATCTCACACAGTCAGTGGGTATAGTTTGGCTCAGGTAGGCTGAATTTCCATTCAGAAGGGCAAGTCTGTCTCCAGTACCTGTAGAAAGATCCCAGGGTAAATATGCTCCTTAGCTCAAAGCCTAGCAAGCCTCAGTGAGGTGATTAAGTCAGGTCTCTGTTTATTTACCTTCAAAGTTTATTTTAAAAGAGTATGTTAAACTAGAAAGGTTTGCTGCCATACTTGGCAGTGAGAACTTCTATGAAAAGCCTCTATCAAAAAAAAATATGGTCCCCTCTAATAAACATAAGTCTGCTCTTTAGAGTGAACTCTCCCATATATTTAAGATTCGAAAATAGTAGTAGGTGCTGAACACCATTGAAAAACAAGTCATAAACCATCTTGATAATATATTTTAATTGTTCTAATACATATTTTTAAAATTAATATCTCTTCATTTTCATTATGAAGTGGTAGGATCTGTGGTACGGTTTGGGACATGGAAAGAATAAATTGTGTAATGCCAACAGAAAAGGTGCTGAGGTAGCTGGTAATTGACAGAGTTAATGAAGTATGTTAAGCAGGTACAATATAGATGAAGTTGTCCCCTGCAGGGTGATTGGCCACTGGGGAAATAATGTGACAGTTGTCTTTGTGTTAAAATAATGTGGTACTCCTTCTTTGCCAGATCCTATCTGCAATGAGAGATGAAAGAGGTCTTGCAAGGATACCTAGGTCCTCCTAGAGCAAATACTGTGCTTGAATCTGGCAGGTAAAGGACAAGATAAAGAGAGGGTAAAGAGTATAATGGCTGTCTGTAAAGCCATTAGGCTATTTCCTACAACCCACACATGAATTATCCACTATTGAAAAGTAATAATTTGACACTGTTTTCTATAAGCCTCCCTCATGTACTACAATGCATTGGTGTTGTCTGGGAAAGAATGGGAACTGAATTTGGCCTGCCAATTTTTCTAGAAGTTGATTATTTTTAGATATTGTTTTAATAATTAGCTAACTAGCTCCCAAACAGTACAATGGATTTAGACAGCAAAAGATAGGTTTTGAGAGAAATATAGATTTTGTATTATTATCTCCTCCTAATGTATGTGATTATTACCATTGAAACAGCAGGGGAAATATCAAATGGAAATAGTGCTCAGCCTCTCAATTTTGCTAAGCTGTGTGGT